TTTCAAGTCCAATGAGTTAAGTTCTTGTCCAAGCATGATCTTATTCATTTGCATTTGAGTCCAAATTGTCCATATCATATTACAGCTCAATTTTAAGTTAAAGTGTATCTAGTTCCAAATCATTGTTCAAGTTGAGTCCAAGTATTATTGTCCAAATCAATCCCTCTGCGGTCCATGTCTTGTTCAAGTTTGATGTCCACAAGTTTTGAGTTCAATGTCAAAGTTCATCTTGCAAGTTCAAGTTCATATTCAATTTCATTTTCAAATATTTTTTATAGTTCATCTTGAGTCCAAATACAAGTCCGAGTCCTCTGCTTCAGTTCAACTTCAAGTGTGAATCCAAGTTCATTTTGAGCTCAAGTCCTTGTCCTTTTGGACAAAATTTCGGCAGCCTCCCGGCGTCTCCCCCGTTAAGGGGAAAAAACCAAGAGGTCGCCTACTCGCCACGTCAATAAAGACGTGCACGGTTGGTGTTGGTGAGACACCGCGGCGATTGTATTTTTTTGTTTTCTCCCACCACGTGCAATAAAGGCGTGCATGGAGTTTTATAAAAAGTATTTTTGAAAAAGCAGTTTTTGATTTCCCCCCGCCCGGGGGTACTTAATAAGCGAACTCGCTTCGCCGTACGTGTCGCACGGGGTTCCATCCACCACGCGCAATAAAGGCGTGCATGGGGCGGTTCTCCGGTTTGCCACGGACATTGAAGCAAGGTTTTGAGTTTAGAAAGATTCATACCTCCGCGGGGTTGTCGTGGTTGACACGTGGATCGAGGGGTCACTCGCCTACCTCATCGTAGGTGTCGCACCGGGTTCCCTCCTACCACGGCCAATAAAGGCGTGCTTAGGTGGTTTGCCGGTCCGACACAAACATCGAGGAAAGAGAGTGGAGGGATATTTGTATTTAATCATTAATCAAAACTAAAAATAATTAATTTTAGTTAATTATAAATAATTATAACTAATTATCATTGATGCTAATTAAAGAATATTAAAAAAACTAATTATAATAAATTATGATTAATACTTAATTAATCATAATTACATGATTAATTATATTTAATATTAATTAATTATAATCACTTAATAATTAATTATAATTACTTATAATTAAATAAAAAAAATTATAAATAATCATAATTAATGTTAGGTAACATGATTTGCATATGAAATTATAATAGGATTTATACATGATTTACTCTAAGTTAAATCCCCTATTTTTTTTTCTCTATAGTTCAGTAGTCTTACGGGATTTGGCCGAAGAAGCTCCCATAAGGGAGAAAATTATCTTCACGGCCAAGCGAGCTCCAGTCGTTGCTTCCGATCGGACACAAAGAGGGCACGGGTCTAGAGTTCGGAGGTTTGGCGGCACAGGTAAGGGGATCGGAGCTCGGTCGGAACTAGGGAGAAGGTCGGGTAGGTGCTCTCTCTCTCTCTCTCTCTCTCTCTCTCTCTCTCTCTTCTCTCGGCCAGAGGAAGCTGGAGAAGCAAGGAGGTCGGGATGGGTCGCGTCAGAGGAGGAAGGAGAAGGCGTCGGCTTGGTGGGGTTTGGCCGGCTGAGAGGAGCAGTCGGGAAGCAAAGAGTGGGATTTGAGTGCGGGAAGGAAGAGCAGCCGAAAGCTTCGCTCGGTTGGGTATTTAACGACGCGAACGAGGTGACGATCGAGGTGAGATCGCAGATTTTGAGCACGATTTCGCGGAGAATCGACTGGAGCGGCGCCGTTCTGCAGGTAAGCGGGATTTCTTCCTCCTTTTCGGCAAGATTTCAGGATTACGTGGATTTTTTTGTCTTTGATTTCTTTTGGGTAATCTGTGGAGGTTAACACTGGTGAGTTTTCTTTATTGAAGGCCTAATATGAATGTATAAAATAAATATCCCGGTCGACCCCGCGACCGTATATTTATTTCATGGTTCGAGCTTTGTCGACTCCTATTTACCCGTATAGGACCGGGCTCGAACTTGGACTCAACATTTGACCCGCGTAGCATCCCTGAGCGTCACATGTGTTCCAATAACATGCTCGTCAGAGCCCATGTGGGTGTTTGAGGGCATTTTATAATTATACCCTGTCGACTCCTTTTTATCTGCTTAGGAGGATCAAGTTCAAATTAATAACCCGTGCAACATCCCTAGACGTCACGTGTGCATCAATAACACGCTCGTCGGGGCCCATATAGGTTGTATTACACATTTACCCCTTTTCTATACCTATGTGTATACAAACTACGATGCATATGCAGAGGCATTCTTGGAATATTTATAAACGCCTTATGTCTGCTTGCATGAATGTTGCGAATTCGATGACGTGGCGTAACAGCTTCTAAATTAAATTGTTTGCTGCTTTGTATATGTATACTGTCATGCACTACTTACATGATTTATGCAGGTAGATTGTAGTGCACTAACTAATCCCCTGCTTTTGGATATAGGTGAATCGTAGCGTTGTCACCTGATTGCAATGAGATACTTCATTGTTCTGATACAGACTCCCTTTACTCATTCATCAGGAGTGTGATTCTTGAAATTCGTGATTGATGACTTGAAAGGAACTCCTTCAAAGATTTGTCATTTTCGGCGTTTATGGATGCAAGCAATGTTTTGTTCTCAAGTACAGGATCATGAAGAAATTTTGGAACACCAGGAAGTTTAGTTCGAATTTGCTCAAACATCTCTTCCATTCTGCTAGGAGGTGTCCTTTTTTGTACGTCGAATTGTCTTCATACCCGACATATTTTACAGCGTCTCAATCACCGCTGTTGTGGGCGACATCTGCACTTGTGTCCACAAGGGTTCATGCACTTACGATATACCCATTATTGTTATCTACAAGTGGATTGTGTGTATTTATAGGAACCCGTTGTATTCACTATGACCTCTTGAAAGTGTTCGTAGAAAGGCCATTGTTTCTGCATCATATCCACCTTTTGCCAATCTTAGGTGATTTGATGTGCTTATTGACAAGGACAGATTTTTCACTATCAAGTGCTAGTATTTCCATCTCAATCTACAGGCGTTTGTAGGGATTGTAGTAGGTTTCAATAGTGCATATAGGACACACGTATGCATTTTATAACCATTTATTATTCTTGCAGGTATGGCGCATTTGACCTCATAGGGACTTGTATGTGCTTCAAATATGTTGCAATCATCTTTCAAATGCATCGGGGTTTCATCTCCCACTTGCAACTTGTTGTTATCTTGGGCGACCGTGCATTTGAACTTTGATTTGTTCATTCATCCAAAGCCCAGTCCTATGTATTCCATCAGACCCGAATTCAAGTTCAATTCATGCTTGAGTCTTGTATGTTGTTATGGGTTCAGCTTTTTACATCCCATTCAATCTCAAGCTCCTTGAGTCTCTTGCAAGTCCAGTGCGTATGTGCTACGTCACATCTAAGTTGTTGTTTTTTCACATCTTGTTCCAGTTTTCAGTTTAGAGTACATGTTCAAGTGCAGTTCTATGTCCCCTGCGGTCCTTTGAGTTTAATCAAGTTCGAGCCTTATATTATTTTGCTCGAATTTTAGTTCAAGATTCCTTTCAAACTTAAGTTTGAGTTCATTTAAGTCATTTAGTTCAAGTCCAAGCTCACAAGTACACTGTTCATTTGAGTCAAAACAAGGTCCGAGTATGATCGTATGATCACCCAAAATTTCGGCAACCTCCTGGCGTCTTCCTGTTTAGAGGAAAACTATGAAAACTTGGGCCTCCCGCCACATTAGAGAAAAGCATGTACGATAAATGCCCTCGTACGAGGGCACCATGGCCGTAAAATCTTTGTCCCCATCACACTAAAGAAATGCGTGTATGGGTCTTCAATACCAGTTGCAAGAAAAGCTGTTGTTTCCCCGCAGGTACAGAGCCGCAAATGGGTACTTAAAAGTTGTCCCGGCCACGCTAAGAAAAGAGTGCACCAGGCTTACCTGCTTCGTCGCATGTGTCGCATCGGATTCCCTCCTACCACGCTAAAGAAAAGCTTGTATAGGCGGTGGTTGACCGGCTCGTCGCACACACCGAGGATAGGATTTTGGGGCCGAGGGGTCGCTCACCTACCTTGTCGTAAATGTCGCACCGGGTTCCCTTCCACCACGCTAGAGAAAAGCTGTTGGGACGGTCTGTATACTGCCAAAAAGAACGCCGCCACCAAGTAATTGACGAGCGACAATTATTGTAAAGATATATATTTGAATTTATTATAATGTAATTATAATTATAGTAATTAATCTATAATTATATATAAAATACTATACTTAATTATTAATCGTTGAATAATTAAAAAATTTGATTATTAATTTTATTTTAATTAAAACTAATTAGATACTAATAATTTAAAAAAATATTTAAGTATAATAATTATAATAATTATAATTAATAATAACTAATTACTATTAAATAATAATAATAATAATAATAATAATAATATATAAAAAAATACCCTTCCTCCTACTCTGGTTCGCCCGACTTAGGGATTTGGCCGCGCGGAAGGGAGATAGTTACCCTTACAACAAGCGAACTCCTGTCTTGCTTCCGATCCGACCGAGAAGGGAATGTCAGAAGAACGAGATTGGACAGCAGCGACGGAGCCGAAGAAGGCGCAGGGAAGGCAGAGTTGTAGCTTCCGAACAGAGTGTCGTAGCTTCCGATCCGCAGGGAAGGCAGAGTCGTCGAAGGAGCGAAAATGAACAGCGACCATAGAGGGAAAGAATGGGAGAGAGCAGAGCGAGCGCGAGAGAGGCCGAAATTTTCTTCGGCTATTTAACGACGTGAACGCGTCGTGCGGGCGGCGTGGGGGAGCGTCGTGGATGTGTTCGCGACATGCGAAGGATGGCTACGACGTGCGACGTTCAGCGTCGGACAGGTACGCGATTTGATTTTTTTTTTCAAGGTTATAGGTCAACACTCAGGTTTCATAGTTTTTGAAATTGTATTTATATTTTTTGACTCATCAATAAAAGATTGATTTTTGGAGCTTTTTTTCTTTAAGAATTTTTTAGTAAACGTAAAGTTTTTTTTTTTTTTTTTTCATTAGAAATTTTATTGTAGCTTATTAAAAATATTGAAGTTTCTAATGATAATTTTTCATGATTTTGAATGTTAAAGCTATTAACTATATTTAAAGTGCCTTACAAATTGTCTTGGTAGCGGTTTCATATTAGTGGCCGGCTACGAAGAAGGATAGATGGGTCCCCGTGAGCTATACGATAGGATCTCATGGACTTAGCAACCCGTGAGCAATTCCAATAGCTATGTAACAACTCTATAACTCGTTTGCTTTCGGTAGTAATTTAGTCATCAAAGTAAAGGTTTTGTATACCTTTACTAAGTCCCAAGAGCCTATCTATAAATGCAAATAAGCAACCATTTAACATTTGGAATGAGGAGATAATGTTTTCAATGGTTGATCATTTAAGAAGATTTTTAAATTGTTTATCAAGCTAAATTCTCATTGACGTTTCTTTACTGTAACCTCAAGCTCGTGTAGTTTATTTGATTTGTATTTTTACATTTTATATTGCAGTTATCATTTGTAGAGATTGTATATGCTTTAGTTGTTAGTGTTAGCCGTGTACACAAAAGTCTAGGAAAACAATGAAAAAAATTTGATCTATAATTTTGCGTTGGATTTGTCAGATTAAGATGAAGTGTGCTAGTAACTCTATTATGTTATAGGTATGACTTCATTGAGAACAATTGAAGGCATAATGGTGTTATTTAGGATACACATGCTAAATAAACAACAATGAAATCAAGCTAAAGTGTTGTCTAAATTCATTATTTAGAAGACAAGCTAGGAGATAACTTTTTTTGATATAATTCTCTCAATTTCCTTAAGTAATGGTTCTTTGCCTAGCCTAATCTCATACATTCTATCTAGTCTAACAATGTTGTTATCCTTATTGGGGCACATATTGGTTATCACTTTACCAGTAAATAACTTTCTTAGCAAACAAGGATAAGCGCCCAGCAAGTGTGAAGGTTTTTTTTCCCTCCATGGAAAATTTAAAAAGAATTGCTTAAACCATAGAAGAGAAAAGTATAAGATATACCTTTTTGGTGGCAATAAGCTCAGCTTCTAATGCATCCACACGGCAGATAGCAGCAGTGAGCAATTCTTCTTTCTCATGAGGCATCTCAGATGGTTTGGCCTGAAGTATATTGATATTTTCTTCGAGTTCCCCAAGCCTTCCCAAAACAGAAGAAAACATCTCTACTTCTGTGACCACAGAAGTTCGTGAACGGTGATGTTCCCCTTTTTGTGCAGGATCTAATGCAGAAAAGCGACTGAGGTGGCCTGCTTTTAAAGTACTATCTGGAAGTTTCTTAGTCAAATTTCTGGTGACTGAAAGAACAAAGTTAAAGACCATCAAGATGAAAACCACCATCATGGCGATTTGAGCTCTAACACCACGAAGCTTTGGGGTATCATCCGAGGGAGGAAGGCAGTCTGCTGTTGTAGTAATGACATGTTAAGCCAAAAATCATCCATATACAACATAACATATGCAATGAGAATATGACAACTATTTAAAATCCAAAAAACTAAAGCTCAAACTATATAAGAAAAAACACTTGAAGATATAAGATATAAGGGACAACAGCAGTGATAATGATAGAGCCTGGGAAGTAGTTTGATTTTCGTGAAGAAAAGCATGAACAACAATTTTCAATTCCATGAATGTTTCATGCGTGCAACTTCTGGGAGAAAGATTAAAACATTTTAGTGCATGAAGAGGAAAAAAGGATGTTCTTCCATTTATTTTCATGTACAATTTTTAGGAAGACAGAATGCAGCATCTGGGTTGAATAAAGATTCATTTATGCAGATCAATTGAAACTTCCAAACCTGTTGAGGAAGCTTCAGATATTCTATTCTTCCATTCGGCATCTACAGCCTTGTCAACCATTGGTACATAGTCATCAAAGTCTAAAGAGACGATAGAAGGCATTGCTTTGCCGGCAATTTTAGCCTGTATAAACGCAAACAAGGGCCTTCAGAAACTGTAGGCATACCAATATAAAAGAACAAGTCAAACCAACAGTGTTCGTCTTTCTAAGCAATGAATCAGAAAACAAATTCAGATAGAAGATCATATGATGCAAATATGAGATTCTATGTTCATTGGGAATGCAATTCATGCATATTAATTCTAATTTTTGTTTTCAAGTACATTTCAAATGTAAGAACATGCATGGGATGTTGGCTCCCAAACAAACTGGATGTGTTCCCAAGTGTTTCGACTGGTATTTAGGCCCAACTCATTATTGAGTGATTTCAACTTCAACCTTGAAATTCTAATGGAGTTTAGAGTCATTCCCATGATATGAATTACTAATTATTCCTCGTGGTTTTTGCATTTTCCACTAAGTTTCGTCACTGTGCTATTGTTCCAGTTTGTTATGCTGTTAATCTTCTTCCACCATGTTGTTGCTACCTGTTTATTGTATCAGCCACGTCAATAATTCCATCTTGTTCACTCGAAACCCTCATCTTACCTAACCCATCTCTCACCCTCTTCTTGTCATCAAAGAACTATATAGCCCCAGACGGCTCAACCGCTCTCCTCCACCTCCCAAGTTCGACGATACTCTATTATTTGCAAACCCTCTTCACCTCCAAGTCATCGCTGACTACTCCACCAGCAGTAGCCTCCTCCTCACGTCCATGCTATCGTCACACCACTGAATACAACTCCCTTCTGCCTCCCTCTTCCTCGAATACTCTCAACTGATCGACCCCATGCAACCTTAGCCCATCTTCCTCTCATTTCCCAACCCATTGCCGAATCGCTCCACCGGCAAACTCCAAGCTCCTTGTAAGTGAACTGCCAACTGCTAGCCACCTTCTGTCTTCTCCCTCTTTTACGCTCTCTCTCTCTATACGTTTCTATCTCTATAAATAGTAGAGTGAATGGGTTTGGAAGATCGAGAAGGTGTTAGGAGACTCACAGAGAGAGAGAGAGAGAGAGAGAGAGAGTAGAGTTTTCTCATTTTCGCCATAAAACTTTTCGTCATTATCTCGCACGCAAGGGGACTTGTAATGAATGCTATAGCTTATTTACGAGCACTATAAAAAACTTCCCTATCACTTTTAGAATGTTCAAACTGCACGCACAAGAAACCAAACAACTCTAATGGTGGAATGAACTAGGGAATAGGATATTCTATTTATAGAAGAAGACTTGAGTCCATAACATTAAAATGCAAATACATGAAATGCTTACAAGATTCTTACTCACCTTCAATGCAACCGGATCTATAACACATACATGCAAGCGTACAGAGGTAGAAGGCCAGTTTAAAAGCTTCAAAATGAAACTTTGAATGCATTTTGAAGATTAGAATCCACACAAACAGCCAAAAATTCATACATTTTAAAGCTTTGTGCATATCAAAATGAATCAAATTTAAGCGTAATGTCTCAAGAAGAATGCAATCCCCTTGAGAAACATATTATGAATTTAAAAAGCATACAATTGCCTTAAGAAGCATGCTAATTCCACAGAAGCATGTAGTTACTACGAGATATGCACCATCATTCTAAAATAATACAAACACAAGTAAAATAAATTGAAAATTGTGTGAAAATGCAATGCAAATGCACTAAAAAGCATATAAGTGTGATGTATAGATGCAATGATAAGCAAATTAAGCACATTTAAAATCATGCAAAAATGATGTGCAAATGCACTGAAAAGTGTGCAAGTGCATTGTATAAGTGCCCAAAAGTATGCAAGTACATTGAAAATTGTCTGTACTATGCAAATGCAATATAGGCACACTAGAAAGTGCTCAAGCACATTTAAAAGTATGAGTACAATATACAAATGCAATGAAAGAAATGCAGAAATACATAAAAAACATACATGCTATTTAAAAGAAATGTCAAAAGACCTCATATGCTCCTACTAAATACATAAAAATTTTAGATTTGAAGTCTGTGAATGCTGCGTGGTTTAAAATAAAGAATGAATCTAAATTATATTCTTCTCGAAAATGTACAAGCATGTGATACGCCATTCTTGAAAAGGGTGCATGTATATTATGCTAATATGTTGAAAGGCGTGCAAATGTACTAAAAATATGTACTTTAAACTATGTTCAAATCAATAAAATTTAAGCCCATCCAAATGTGCTCTAATAAGAAATATAGAGGTAGAATAAATAGACTTGGATAGAAAGTATTAGAAATTATTTTTTTTATTAGAATTAAATAAGAATTTGACTCATAACATGATATAATGGAGAAAAGTAATTCATGATGCTGACCACATGTAGTGGGATAAAAGCTTGTTATTGTTGTTGTTGTTCACATTAGACTTTCAAAATCTATTTTGAATAGAATTAATTAAAAAAAATACAAACTCTCGAGTTTAAATGCCCCTGTAATGATTCATAAGAGCTGATGTGCGGGCTCGATCCTTTGTTAATAAATAGACAAAATTGACAGGGATTCTTGATGATGATCATGTTGAATGTGAATATCAACATGAAGAGATTCTACCTTATAAATGCCCAAAACTTTAATAAAATACAAATATATTTAAAGTGATTTTAATTTCATCCTGATGATAGACATATGGAAAGTGAATATCAATCGAAGAGGATACGATCAATAAAATGTCATATGCACTCAAATCGAACTTGATCCTTTGCCAACAAATGGGCACAATTATCAATGTTCAAATAAGCAAAGTATAAATTATTTAAAATCTTTGATGATGTGGGCTCCGAAAATTCGTGCCCCAGCCTCTCCTGTTTTCAGGAGAGTTTTAACAAGTTAAGTTCTGAGGTAAATTTTCAAAAGGCAGATTGGGTTTGAAATAAGACACTACATAGAAATTTCACAACGAGTTATGATCTGAGCTCTAGTTTCCTATAGGAGCAAGCCCCTATAGTTAATTACCCCTCCCAGTAATGAGAGAGAACTTTCGATGAAGGATAGTTGTCAATCATATACATAATACATATTTGGCATATAGTAGCAATGTGGGTTTAATTTTGGAGATCTTCATATTTAAAATTGAGAACTTCACCATTTTGCATTTAAAGCGGATTGAGGGGGAATGGATGATGGACTTGATCAAGATTCCATGGTTCCGTCGTCCCGAGTTATCATGGTCCTTGATCTACTTAGCTAGAGGAGGTAGTTGACCCAAAAATTAAAATAGCCAATTTCAAGATTTACACGTATTCACTACAATTTGTATATCGTTGCCTTGAGTTACGTGCAAGTTCTCGAATTTCACATATTTTGCCTCAGGATGCGCATATTTCCTCGTGTGATTTTTTATGAGCAAAATTATAGTCAATTTTAGATGCTCGAATGTTCTGAACGTAATGACGAAGTACATTCTGCGATTGGACGTCATTTGGGCAGCGTCAAGCGTCAATTTTGGGTGTCGATCGTAGATTTTGATCACTTTCGCTCGATTTGATTGTGAAGTCTATTTGGGGAATAGTCAATTTTGCGTGTCGCACATGCTGACCACCACTTAAGTCGTCAAATTCGCCTCTTTTCTGAGTTTTTATTATGTAGGTCAACACATATTATGGTCATGAATAAAGCCTATATGTTTCCCAATGGCTAATTTCTTTGAGTAATGAATTATAGGTTATACGTAATAGGGTATAAAGCTCTGTATTAGTTAAGGTTGGCTCAAATGTGTCCCCTTAATAAAACATTAAGCCAAAATGTACAAGATACTCTTGGATAAAGCAACCCATTGCTGCTGACAAGATCCTTTGGTTAGGTTGGTTCGACTATCTTATCTGACTAATTAGACTAGAGATCACGACGGTCTAGGATGATGGAATCATGGGATCTTGTTCGAGCTCGTCATCATCCTCCCATCACCCGCTTTAAGCATATGTTAATAAATTTTAAATCATAGAAATTTAAAATTCCAAAATCTAAACCATAAAGCTGTTGCTACTATATATTCGGTACTAAGTGACTATCTAACGACTAACCTGAATAGAAAATTCTTTCTCTTTATCGGGAGATGTGATTAACTATAAGGGCCTGAGTCTATGAAAAACTTAAACACAAATCACAAAGTTCTCACAAAATGAGGGGGGAATCTTTGGGTAGTGTTATTTAAATATTAAATTGTCTTTTGAAAATATTACTCTAAAACGTAATCTTGATAAAATTTTTCTCATCAATAAAAAGCTACAGAGAGATTGGGCCGCAAAATTTCGGAGCCCACATGGAATCTTAAGTCTAACCACCAATAATGAATAGTGCTAATAAAATATTTGTCAAATATAATATCATTTATAAGTTGATTACATAAAAATTGTGTTCCGCGCGCTAGTTCAAATAAATACAACTAAAGAAAAAAAATCATTCTGATTAAATATGCAATGAAAACGAATCAGTTTAGTTTGAATCAGGCTAGTTTTTTGGCTTTTCATTTCTTGGAGCACCCATAGCCTAAGCTTTAAAGCAGTATCTAGACATATTAACTCTATATGTTATTACTTGACGGAAAATCAAATAGAAATTCTAGCCGTTCACCATCACCAAAACTACATGTAAACTCGTACATACTACCAACCTTCCTATAATTGAAAACAATTTGAACATGTGAGACGGTCATGCATCAACAAATGTTACAATTTGAAAAAAAAAAAACCCCATAGGAAACATAAATTTTCCATGTAAAATAAAACTTGCCT